CGGCATTTGTGAGCGATTTTACTGTTTTTTGACCATGAAAAAGGGTCGGTGGGGGTTGGCTATCTGCGTTTACGTTTGTCGTTGTTATTCTTATTCTTGTTCGAGGACAAGAACGAGAACAAGTTAGGAAAAGAGATATGGATATGGATATGGATATGGATATGACAAGGAATCCACCGTGGAGGTAATGGAAAAGGCAATGGAAATGGAAATGCTTAGGGCAGACCACCCAGGCCAGAGGCCACAGGCCACAGGCCACAGGAACTCAAGAGCGGGAACCCGGAAAAGGGATAAATGGAACGAAGTGTAAATGAGATTGGGAGATTACATATTTATACCGCCCAATTGAATCCGATAATAGGCTGTTGTTTTGATGTAAGTTACATTGAATTATTGTACAGTCTAAATAAAGCCCTAGTATGAGGTAGAGTAAGGTATCTATATATCATTGATATACACAAACACGCACGCACACGACATGTGGTTGTCGAGTGGGAAAAGCCGATGTGGTCGGATCTTCCGGTGAGAACCAGGACCATTAAGCAAGTACTCTCCCTACGACTACCCGGTACTTGCTTAGATCAACGCCTGGCCCTTGTGCATGGCCTCTCTGACCTCGCGAATGATATCCTTTCTGTCATGCCGGCCCATCAAGACGATGCCCCGACCACGACGGTTCATGCGGCCCATACGGCCCAGTCGATGGACGAAATCGATCGTCGTGTGCGGGACATCGTAGAGTATGACATGACGCACGGCCATGGTATCGACGCCGCGAGATCCTAGATCCGTCGTCACGAGGACCTTGGTATCCGGCAGGTGTTTGGTGGGTCGTCGGCCGTCGTCAATGCCACTGGTGACGCCGACCTGCGAGCTGTCAAAAGGCACAAAGTCCTTGAACAATTTCTGTCGGCTCTTCTTGGACGATGCATCAGACGGCTTCTCGGATCCTTCGATCGGAGTAGTGGACGTAAAGCTGGACAGAACCTCGGCCTGTCGCTGCTCGGTGGTGTCGCGAGTCAGCGCGACGGCGTCAATGCCCTTGCTGGCGAGGAAGCGGGTTAGTTCTTCCGCTTTCTCGCGCTCGTTGACGAAGACGAGAAGGTGCTTGACTGTGTGGCGGGGGTTGAGGTCTTCGTGCACGGCTTTGCCGAGCGTCCAGATCACGTCGGCGCAGGCGAGGTCGCGAGAGCCGTTGTACGGTGCTCTGTCGATGTCGATGGCGCCGAGCTGGACGCGACGTGGGATGGTGTGCAATTTCGGCGTGACGATACGTTTGCACTGGGGGAAGCGGCGGTCGATGAAGCGGTCGAGAGAGTTGGGGATGGTGGCGGAGCAGAGAATGAGTTGTTTGAGAGAGGGAGTGGCTCGGTCGATGATGTCGCAGGTGGTCTCGCTGAAAGAGCGGTCGAAGAGCGAGTCGGCTTCGTCCATGACGAGGTACTGGATCCGGGAGAGGATGCCGGGTTCCTTTTTGGCGATGCTGGCGATCAAGTGCGGCGAAGAGACCACGATGTCGATGCCACCGGGGCTGAAGAGTCGGTTTCGAATCACCGTCGGGCTGTTGGAGGAGGAGATTCCGGCTGATTTGTACTTGACCGCGTGCCCGAGCGATTTGACCACTTTGGTGACTTGGGTGATCAGTTCAGACGAGGGGAGAAGGATGAGCGCTCGTGGCCGGCCCAGTGAAGGGTTTTTATGCTCTTCTGTCTCGGCGGGGTCTGCGTCAAAGACGAGGCGCTTTTCCCGGTCTTCCTTTTCTTTGGCTTGGTGGGCCTCCGTTTCTGCTTGCTCGATTTGGTCGAGCTCTTCTTGCTCCTTGACATGATGGATGAGCGGGAGGAGGTAGGCCATGGTCTTCCCCGATCCGGTTTCGGCAGCGAGGAGGAATGGGTCGTACTTTGGCGCGTCGTCTGCTTGCTTCTGTTTCTGGTATTCGCCCTTTTTGCTCAGGAGTGCTGGGATGGCCAGTTTCTGAATCGGCGTAGGCGTGTACTCAGTCAAATGTGACAGAACCTTTGTGTACACGGCGTCGACCACCGGCGGCATCAATCCCAACTCTTCAAAGGACTTGATCTGTTCCATCTTCAATTTCAGTTTATCGCGTTGGCTGTAGGACAAGGGAGCCAGGATCTGCTGCATCTTCAGAGCGTGGAAGGTAGGTCTCTCGTCCTTGTCAACCTTGCTCTTCTTGATGGCAACCGAAGTTGTTTCGCCATCCCCGTCGCTGGTCGCAGAAGGTTTGGCTCGTTCGGACCGCTTCTTGATTTCCGATCGAAGGGACATTCGCGTTCGGGAGGGTAATTGTCGTGGCACTCTCCTTTCTGGTATCCTTGCCAGAGTTTGGTTCATCCCAGCGAAGGGTCCAACATCATCTCGTTTCGCTGCTCTCCTTTCCGAGCCTGATCTGCTCACATCTTCAGTGAGAGTCATTCTTGAAGGTTTCCTGCGCTGTCGCATGGCCGAAGCCATGGTTCGTTGCGTCTGCCATTGCTGTACCGACGGCTTGAGAGTGGCAATCAAGGCTCTGAATTGGCAGGTCGGGCATACGACGGCTGAAGACGACATCGAAAGACCCTGATTCAGTTGTACACAAAGTCTAACAACATGCGCTGCTTGTCCGAATCTTTTTTGAAACTTTTGGGGATATCGAGCATCACGCTGCTTTGAGCATTTAATCTGCTGCCCTAAGAAAGCACCTACCTCGCGTGCCTCGCTACCTAGATCTAGTGACATCCACCACGCGAGCACGACCTCCACCCAACTTCTGTCACATCGTTCGTGAAAATCACAGCATGAGGCGCAAACGTGCTTCGTTCTCTGGACGTGTTTGAAGTTGAACTTTGTGATGGCCACTTTGAGCCTTGAGCTCAACGAAGGAAATGCCCGTGATGAGTTCGGGAGCACGAACCAACGACAACATTTTGCTGTAGAACCGTGAGTGCAAACGAGATGGAAGATGCAACGCTCCAGAATCACCCATATAACCACCGTCAAGCTGGCTCTGCCTCTCGTCCTCTTTCTTGCGGCCTCGATTGAGATACATACACCGGCTCAATTGAGGCTGATTGTTTGCCTCTACGGCCAGTCGCAAGGCAGTCCCGAGAGACATACAGCATCACCTCACTTATGTGATATCTGACTCGAAATCCTCGCGAGCGAACGCGGCTACAATCGAGTGTCGTTTTGTATCTTCATAAATAGGGGCGATTCCGCGCAGGATGTCGGCCTTTCTTTCCAGCACCAGACTGGTATACTTCAACGGAGACTTCCAAAGATACTGCGACGAACAAGATTCGAGAAATTGAACTTCGATCCAGACCATATCCTGCCATAGGTGAGAACTAGTCAAGCATAGCGAACTGCGAGCTGGTGCTGACCACTACAGTATTGTACAGCTCCAAATCAACGCTCGGACCGTGTGTTTTCAGCAAATGTGCACAAACATTGTCTATCAGTGGCAAGGATGCACACATTCAAAAAGCAAAGTGACCACCTGCAGCCGGTACCCGAGATGCACAACGATCAAACATACCCTACAGATGCGCGGTCGATGTGGCTGGTGTGTTAGGTATCGATGGCGCGCCCAACGGCGACGAAATCGCCCCGTCTTTGGCGAACGTGCTTTGCTTGTCAGGGCAATGAGCAACATTGCAGCCAGATGTGGTTTCAGCATGGCTGCATGACGTTCTGTGGGTTGAGAGCTCAATACACGACAGTGCAGTGAGAGCTGGGCAATTACAGCTGGAGTCCTAGGGTATAGTAGTTTGGGCTGAAATTATCAGGGGAAATGATGGTTACATATCGAAATCAGCTTGAGACACACAGTCATCACACTACTTTCTTTACTCCAGTTCAAACAGATCTGAATTTCCGCCGGGATCCAAAATCTGCGCTTACCCTGCATATTAGGTTCACTCCGAACACTCGGGCGCTTTTTCGAGGCATGCAAACGAATATCATACCGACTGTGCAGCCATGGACGAATGGGTCGAAGCCTGTCGGACAGTGGTCGACAAGAGGGCTGTCAGGAAGGCATGAGTACATTTCGAACGACTCGACTGCCGCATGGAACTTCTCAGCCAATATTGCTGGGAGCAAACGCATGTGTGGAGGGATGTTGATTCATGCCTTCTCCAGAAAGCGGGATCACTTCCATGTTCCAAGTTGTCAGTGGGTGACGCTTGAGCACACCTACAATGCCCCAGCAAGCTCCAACTTGGTGCTGATATTGAGCAGGGTATCTACTTTTCATGGTTCACTGGTTGGGTGGAAAGTCGATGCCGCGAACTTTCCGTGCCTGAGAATCTCTCAAGGCCAATGCCTTTGTCGCTGGAGACATTGGTGGTGCCTTAGATATGAATGCAATTTTCCTCTTTGCGAACCTCGTGGCCATGGTTCGATGCACAATAACAAAGGTTCTGACACAACTTGACTGTATGATCTGTGTGCATCTCTCGGCTGATACAGTCTTCTCCGTATCAAGTCTGTGGGGCTATTACTCATGTCACTACGCCGGCTACCACGTTGCAAGCGACGCCTGTATCTGCTACCTTTGTCAACCCCTATATGGCGCAGTGACCCGACTGACCAGCAGAATTGTATCGTGGGATACTCACGTTTTGGCCTCCACTGACTGCGACTGCTGTCACTGTTACATGAAGAGTCAATGCACAGGGCCCCAATTTCCTTGCATACGAGGTGTTCCTGATATCGTCAGAGCCCATTGCAGGATACACATCGGTACGAGTGATGGTGCAGCTTGTATTACTGTATATCTTCATATCTAATGTACAACGTCGTAACATGATCAGGAGCATTTTGTAAATCTGCAAGCTTCACGGTCTCGTTCAAAAAAAAAGGAATATCACTGGTGCATGAAGGCAATACTAGGTTGTTCTCTATCTACCAGGTACCCCGATCATATGCAAGCTGAGGTCTGGAAAGCGACAAAAAAAACAGGAGGTCTCCAGCTATCCCAGCAAGTGCTGGGGGGTTCATGATTAAGCCCGGGATCGAACCGGGGACCTTGTCGGATTGAAGTGCTCACAATTATGTGAACGACACGTGATAACCACTACACCACTCAACCATGAGTTTCTAATCGAAATTTGCTGGTTCAAATACAAGTCTCTCGAATTATTTTTGGTGGAGATCCGGTCAACTGGGGCCGAAAATCCTCCCAATCGAGGCAACTTGGTCAGTTTCGATGCCCAGATGATCCCTGGAAGGCGCCCATAACAAGGGCTGGTGGGCCGATCACAGGTGCCTAAAAAAGCTTGTCAGTCATTGTCATAATCCTCGCCTCACTTTTCGAAAAGACTCATACTTTGACACCTCACTTGCACGACTATCATCTCCCGACTGCCTCCCATTCAGCCTGTATTACACATGGCTACAGATCTGAAAGACCTCGCAACGCCCGCGAAATGCACAGCAGACTTCTGCCTCATTCCTTTAGGGACACCGACAGCTTCCGTGTCAGCACAGATAGCTGATGTTCAGCGATTGATGAAGAAAAGTGGGTTGAAATATTCCATGCATTCAGCAGGGACTACTGTTGGTAAGCCTCACTTGTGTTCTTCATACTTTTTGTGGACTCTTTGTTGTTGTGGGTGTGTTTGGAGTGAAGTTTCGGATCTTTGCTATGTCGTGAAGCAAGACAGTGACATATTACCAAACCCGGGGTCTCCTCGTGGTCGTCTGGAGCAGCACCGGGAAAGCTGTCCTGGTGTGAACTGGATTTTGCACTCTTGGTCACGTACACTCGGAGGGCAGAGGACGACTTGAAGTGTACAACTAGAGCAGAGCAGAGCCAGAGCAGCATTCCTATCACATCTAGTGGTGGTCTGTGTTATACTACTAACTTATGCCTCTCCTCACATTGTTCAGATGGCTTGCCGCGCGCCGGCCAACGCCACCGTACTGCATGCACGGTCTGATGCTGATGGTTTGTCCTTCACTTGCATTCAGGGCTAACACTTTCTCTTGTGACAGAGGGATCTTGGGATGACGTGACTCGTCTGATCGGCCAGGCTCATACTATCTTACACGAGAAGGGCATTGTACGGATTCAGACCGATATCCGCATTGGCAGTCGAACGGACAAGGCTCAAACTATGGAAGACAAGGTCGCAGCTGTGGAGAAGTTGCTCTCGAGTGACACATGAGCCCTTGCCGTCAACTGGTCTAGGGCAAGATATAATAGGTCACGGTCTCAGGTTTAGGAAAGGCTGAACAGTGATCAGAGGATGAGAGACGATGATCTGTTCATCATGTACCATTTTATTCATCTTCGGACTGGTGTACTTCACAAGACGAGCTTGTAACAGAATAAATGGCACCGTTTGAGATGGGGCGCCGGATTTTCTCAGATTGAAGATGTCTGTGATCAAGGCTGGTGCAATCGTGTTGCAAAGGTCGGGCTTGAAGTTAACATATTGATTGTGCCAGCCGCAAAATAGTTGGATATTGCCCTGTGATGGACATTCTTCCGTTAGCACGTTTACGCTTTCTGTCCTGTAGGCCAGGCAATATCGCTGCATTTCACAAAGACGAAAGAGGAACAGGTCTTGAGCTCTTCAGCTGGGATGATCATCGAGTCCACCACTCCACTTCAGCCACATAAACAGCATCACAGCCACCCAACTGTGGCTGAGCAGGCTGTTGACGTTGCAAGAATCCTCCCACCATTCATTCAGCACTACGAAGCCCAACCTGGTGACAATGCTCTTTCTATTGGAGAACAATGCCCCTGGCTTTACGTGCTTGCCGCCCGCCGCTCCGACAAGTCTTGGGCGATTGAGACAATAAGTCTCAGAGAGATCCTTTCATGAGCCTTTGTCTATTGATGCAGAGTGTGTCTTTGTTGACCGCTCCAGTTCCAGCCATGCTATTTTTGTGAATACTAACGCCGGACGAACAGCCCGTTTTGTTAGGACTCGCATTCAATCTAAACCTCTTCGCAGTCATTCAAGCATCACCGAGAACAATTACGTTTCTCGACACCTACCGTCTCACGAAACCCCGAAAGTCATTCTACTGCTAGCCAACCATGGCGGCAATCCACCAAACCATAGCAATTGTCGACAAGTCGAACAGAGTTGTCAGTACGACGAAGCAACTGAAAAATGTGTTCAAGGAAGCCAAGTTGGCTTACCTTGAGCGGAAAGCTGAGATTGTGGCAGAGAGAAGAGCAAGGGAAGACAGAGAGTTGAGAAAGGCGATGAAGGCAGTAACCTTAGCTGAAGAGGCTCGATCAGAAACATCCCGGGGAGCTGGAAACCGAAACAGTCTTAGGGGAGGGCATGACCCGGACCGGCGCAGGGCGTTGGCGGGAGGATATCACCACTCTTCAGAATCAGTAAGAGGGACAGGGCACACGCACACAGATCTTCCGCCATATGAGACTCCAGTACCAGTGGAAACTGCGCCTGCTCCTGTCGGCCTCGCTGAGTTCAACGACGAGCTTTATGGCAGGCATCGTTCTGCGCCAATGCCATCCACAGGGCACGATCTTGTTCGTCGTACCACCGATCTCCCGTTGCAACAGACTCACTCACATCGTCCGCCGCCTGTGAGATCCCATTCTGCATCAGAAGTCGACGACCACATCGATATGGATCTGGCCTATGGGGAATTCCACCCAGAATCACTTATGCTAGATCCGAAGGTGGAGCAAAACTTGCAAAAGCAAGAAATGTCCAGCCTTGTCACAAAATGCAAGATTATCATGGACGAGGCCAACTGTGCACAGCACAGTGTCAGAGCAATAATCGCCCATCTCCAGAAGAATCCGGATGCCATGGCAGCCGTTGCTCTGACGCTGGCTGAGATCAGCAACCTAGCAACAAAGATGGCACCTGGCGCTTTAGTAGCTTTCAAGACCGGAGCCCCTGCTGTCTTTGCCATACTCGCAGCGCCAGAGTTCCTGATTGCTGTCGGTGTCGGTGTCGGGATTACTGTCGTGATGTTCGGTGGGTACAAGATCATCAAGAAAATCCGAGCAAGGGTCGGCAACAAAGAGGACGATGTCGTGGATGAGATGATCGATGTCCATGAACTCGACCGTATCGAGCATTGGAGACGTGGCATTGCAGATGCCGAGACTGCCAGCGTTGCCCCCAGTGTTGCCACCAGCGTCGAGGGTGAATACATCACGCCCATGGCTGCTCGCAGCATGGGGCATCTGCCCGCGCAGAGGGACCGGAGTGAGGGCGGCCATCAAGAGAAGTCACGAGAAGAAAGGAAGAAGAAGAAACACAGACGCGTTGAGCAACTTGAGGACGACCCAGGGCGCACCGTCGTGGGTAGTGAAAGTTCTTCCAAATCCCGAGGGAGTAAATCAAGCAAACGAGAGAAGGTCTTGGTGAAGGTCAAGAAGCCGAGTCCACTGCGCAGGATCTTCAGCAGCAAGGATACGGACTCCTCCTCAAGACGGTGATGTTGGTTCCGAGGAAGCATGGTATAATGTTGTCATAGCTGTATGTATTTGGGCGTGGCGCACGGTATGTACGGGAGGAATAGTCACGAGTCACGAGATGATGAGATATGGAAATGCACAAACAACACTTTGTATAGTTCGCAGTTCCTCTTGAGCAGAGTGTTTCGTGTACTTTGTAGACTATCGGTAGTATCGAAGAACTCGTCACCTCTTAACAAGTCACGTGGTTTGCGGCGAAATTTACTAGTCGATCTTCCGGATCATTTTGTTCTTCAACTCGGTCGCAGTCTCGTCGACTTGCATATTTGTAAACTGTCTCTTTTAATCCACTATCTTTGAGCGCTGTTCTATTTCGCCTTCGGCGCTCATCGAACTCCTTTCGCCCGCCTTGGAAATCTCATCCTCCTCAAATAGTCGACAGAACTTTCGAGTCGGACCCTTGCCTGCGTATCGCCGCAAAAGATTTCTGCACGGCTCCGACTCGATACGCAGGAGGTCAGTCGCAATCGCAAGGCCCTGATACCTGCCGAAAGCCCTCGTATATAATCTCTTGCCACGATGGATCATTCTCGAGATCCTTGTCCTTGGGTCGCCCTATCCGACTTTGGTGGTGCATTCTCGATGGGTGCTTTGGGAGGTAAGCATTTGGGATGACATGACGTCCAAGTCACTCTAACGGGATCTTAGGCACACTATGGCACGGTATTAAAGGATTTAGAAACTCTCCATACGGTGAAAGACGGATAGGCATGATCACAGCCATCAAAGCACGAGCACCAGTTACAGGCGGCAACTTCGGTGTTTGGGGTGGTATGTTCAGCACGTTCGACTGCGCAGTCAAGGGAATCAGAAAGAAGGAGGATCCTTACAATTCGATCATTGCCGGGTTCTTCACAGGCGGTGCTCTCGCCATAAGAGGAGGCTACAAGGCAGCAAGAAACGGAGCCATTATGTGTGCGATCTTCTTAGCAGTTATCGAGGGAGTTGGAATCGGTATCCAGCGGTTAATGGCCGAAAACACACGACTCGATGTAAGTTCACCGCATCTGCAGGCACGGCTGAAAAACTGACATGACCAGCTTCCTCCTCCTGGAGCACCAGAATCTGGACGTGTGGCAGCGTGACTGGAAATGGCTACCACTCCACATTTCATCTAGAGTTCTTTTGGATTCTTTCTCGAACGACACAGCTTTACTCGTTTCTCTACTCCTCGACGTCTCAACTTCTCTTCATGTTGAAAGGGTTTCTGTGCATAGCGGGCGTACGGACATACAGGTTCAATGAAGATTCGACTCGGGTCGATCAACAGGGCGAAGAGGCCTTGCAGGATGGTTGCAGATGCTCGGTGGTCAGCGAAAACCAGCAGCACCATGAGACAGTGCTGTCAGGTTGTACTTGAAGTGAGAGGTACTCAGTTTCACGTACGATGCTGTAATATATGTATGATGATAGAGGGTTTATATCCGGAGGCTATTCGAATCAATACGGTTTCAGTCGCTGGCTATTCCATTACCGTTCCCTGTCAGTCATCTTCCAGCTGGATATTGTAGAAATACGGCTCTTTGGCATAGAGCCCTACTAATCCATAAGCTTCGCCTCTATTGGGTATACTTACTATAACATAAGAGAATGTGCTTTTTGATGAGTCC